CCATGAAATCCAATATCTTAGCGCATCTCTATGTTAAATTTCAGGTCAACAGACCTTAACACAATGGCACAAAAGCTATTTATGTAGTTTTGGGCTATTTTATCCAAAATAAGTTACATAATAGTAATTTACAGGCCTGTGTCAAAGGAGCAAAATCCAACGTTTCAGCGCATAGTGCCAAACTGTCCAGATACAGGGATCGAAATTGTTTTTTTTTTATTAGCTGCACTGGTGCACCTAACCCAAAAAATTAGGTGCACCAAAAAACATTTGGGTGCACCACATATTTTCAGTAGCAAGACAGATGTTTTGGTCACATGACTATCAAGAAACCGGGGAACGAGAAAGAAGAGATCTCTTGATCTGGAAGTTGGTGGGCTAACGCGATATGTCGGCACTGCGCCGACACATTTTCGGGGTTTAAAATGTGAAGTAAATCTAATTCTGTCTCAAGAATTTCGAACAAGAAGTGCATCGAAGGTTTTTTTTTTATTATGTTATTCCATCACAGCAATGTTGTACCTTTAGGTGCACCATTGCACCCAAAGTCAAAATTTTGGGTGCACTAAGGTGCATCTGCACCCAGTATTTCGATCCCTGAGATACCATTTGATAGATCGCCATGATTTTTGTCATGTAGGTAGCTTGAGTGATGCTTGACATAACTATAGGAGAATTATGCAAATCTGGACGTAATTTGCATGATTAATTATATAAATCAGATACATTCCGTGATAGGACTCTTCAACCTTGTGGCATATATAATTGACAACGAGAGAAACATCGGCAGATATTGATTATGTAAATGAAGAGCTAATTTGCATAATTAATGAAGAAATGTTATAATTCGATAGTCGTAACTGGCTGGAATTGAATACTTGGGGTAATTGAAAGTTAACTGATGGTGAACATTTGCTCTCGTTTGCATAATTTATGTTGAATTGCTAAAATGGCCTTCTTTGTTAAAATATGACTATCTTTGGGTGGATAATATGATCAACCGATATAATCCATGCACATTAGAATCCTATTGACATAATCAAGGAGACTAATCTATATAATTCGTCAGTCGTAAAGAACATTACTTGGCAAATGTATGAGACCGCGGAACTCTTGTTCATTTCATGAAATACAACGATAAGTTACAAGTTTTGTACAACTCAAAGACTATAGCTAATCGAAAAATCTCACTAGAGCAACCTACCACGTCATGTAAGATACCTGACAAACACAGCTTATCAAATACTGGCTTAGATTACATAACCTACCTAATGATAGAATTGTTAAGAAAGCATATGATATTGCAGTAGAACAAGAACTAGACTGGATTGTTCATGTTCAAGATATCTGTTCCAAGACATGGTTTCCGAAATATTTGATTTAACCGTGCGGCCGGTTGATATCAAACACTTTGGTAATATATTTAAAGAATGTTTAAAGGACACATTCCTCTCTGGTTGGCGACGAGAAATAAGTAGTTGTAATAAACTAAAAACTTACTCTATGGTAAAAGATGCCTTCATATTGGAAAGTTACCTTTCATCAATCCGTAATAAAGCCTTTACAGTTAACATAACCTAATTAAGAATCAGTTCTCACTGCTTAGAATTAGTTCTCACTGCATCATTATATACCAGCCAACCAGAGACAGTGTCCCTCATGTCAAGAAAGTGTTGAAGACGAATATCATTTTCTTATGACCTGTCCAGCCTATAATGTAGAGAGAGAAATATTAATGAATCTGATCACATGTAAATCTAAAAAAAAACCTTTGCCAAAGTCAAACATAGACATTTTTAAACTACTTATGTCATGCCCCGACTCCATATCTATGTACCTAAGCCAACATATATGTAGTGCGCTACAAAGGAGAGAATGTATTATAATAGACAGAAACATTTAACGTCCATCATGTCAAGACGCCAGTTGATTTCATATCTTTGTAGTAATACTTAGTTTCTTAGAACAGACTAGTGTTTGTAATTGTTGCCATACATTGTACCCTGAACAACTGTCGAGCAATGGAATTCATTCATTCTACAATGATGTCCATATGGTTAGAAGGAATTTGAAAGATAACAGATGTACAGTTGTACATTCAACATGTAACCATCAACTACCCCAGAATATAAAGTGTTCATGAACCCGATTTGCCGATCTCTGCCTGATAGGTTCAACCATTGACTGGAAGTTGCTTCAACATTTTTACAGAGCTCCAGTCTCCAACTATACTAACTTTTGAAGAACGGTGAAAATTTAGCATAAGGTTGGTTTTCCAGAAACTGAAAGTTGCAAGTATCATTGCCATTGATCTGCATATATTCTGCGTGCTTTTTTTTTAATTCTACCTTACCATTATAAGACCATACCATAACCAGAAGACGAAAAATGACAACAAGACGTTCAGTCAAAGTTGAATAATTTGCAACTAAAGACTTCCATTAGATAAATTACTGCCAACTACCCACATACCAAGTAACATATAAAACTAATCACGACGTATGCTGAATAATAACAAACGGAAAATAAATAGCACAAAAATATTTTCGGTTAAGTTAAGGCATGCAAGGGTTTAGAAATTCAGCGTCTATATTTTATGGCAAATTGTATTATATGAATAAACTCAGCATGTAATATGCTAATTGTACATGTAGCAAAATGAATACCTTGCAACAGTCAGTCACTGTAAGCGACGAATCACCATTAGGTTCAGAATTTTCGCCTTCCATTAAATTCTTCAGCCGTTCCACCTGCGTGAGAAGAGCAGCTCCTGAACTCTCGGTGTGCAGGTTTTTTTTACGTTCGTCTTTAATTGCCGATTGTAGAGTTTTTAACACTTTTTGCGAAAGTTTATTTATGTTGGCCTGTTGCTCAACAAGTTTTAGAATATCATCTTCCTCGTTTTCCATCTGAAATCAAAGATAAGGAAGCTAATGTAGGACAATATATTCTAAACTTAACTAACAAATTATTTGGCATAAAATGAACTATTCCGACGCTGTAATTATTTGTAATAAAGCAAAATTGAACACATTTTAGAAACGTATGAAAAATTAAGAACATAGCAGATTTGAAACTATTACAACATTTGTGAAACATTTATGAAACAAAAATAAAGGTAAACAGAGCTCCTTAATGTATAATTGTTTTATCGTTTAATCCAAATAATCCAATTCACTATATAGGATAGGACACAAGTTCATCACATATCCATCACAGAGTACTGGATCATTCGTCATGAAAATTAGTACCGAGATAAACAAGGTCATGGTCAACAGCAAGGACGAGACACATGCGGTCATCTTCATGAACGGGGAGCAGTAAGAAGAGGTGGACTCATTCACATACTTGGGAGGGTGCATTGCAAAGGATGTTATCAACCGGAAATAAATACAGAGAAGTGTAGCCATGGCGACGGCAGCAATGGCTCGTCTGGATAACATCTGGAAATTCAACAAAATTTAGCTTTGCTGTTAAGCACAAGCTTTACAAAGCCCCGGTAGTGTCAGTTCTGTTGTAAGGATGTGAGGCTTGGACGTTGCTGGCAGAATCAGAGCTTGAGCGGAAAATCCAGGCCTCTGTAATAAAATGCATGCGGAAGCTACCAGGTATCTTCTAGCATGAACATAAGACAAACACGTATGTGCGCAGATGATTGTGTTTGTGCGCAGCATCGTCGGCCATGACAGCCTGGCAAAGACAATCCTGCAGGGCACCCTGGAAGGAGGTCGCTGTCGGGGACGACAGAGAAGAACCTGGCGACGTCCCTGAACCTGGCTGAAAGGCTAACTGCCGCAAGTAACAGACGAGTCTGGAGGTAACTGGCTATCTTCATGTCCACCTTGTCCCCCCAGCGACCAGGAGGTCAAGGGACTAGGTAGGTAGGTAGGTACTCTGTATTGCTAAAATAAGGTTATAACAAGTATGCCTAACACTTAGTTTACAGATATGAGGTTTACCGTTACCACAGGTCTAAGGTTACAATACAACAAGATGGATACTAACCAGAGTTGAATACTAACTACAAGTGTACAATCTACAGAGCTATTAGTACACACGTACACGTACCTTGGATTCTAGGCCTCGACTAACTTACGAGGGTATTGTAGGTTCCGAGCTCAACTTGCCTTACAATAGGCAGCTACCTGATTGGCTAGTCTGAACTAACCAATCAGGGCCTACCACTTATCCATATAGCCCCTCCTCCATCTCTATGTCTGACTCATTACAATAATCGCAGGTCAATGGTCACGGCCGATGCACTACCCTTATCAGATGAAGGACATGCCAAAGATTCCACCCAGATCAGGCGCCGGTTATTGGCCCAAAAGAGTGATGATACGGTTATGCAGCCTGCGCCGCGTACCCAATCTGATCTTAACCCTACCTAGACCGGGCTTTTTTGACATGGGGGGACCGGGGGGGGACTCTTTT